CGCCACCCCCCCTTTTATTTAATCACTAGCAGTTGGGTGGAGTTACTGGATTTTTTTTTTTCCATTTTACTTTATTCTTTTTTCAAAAATCAAATCAGCAGAAGAGATGGCTGATCTTGTTTTCACATGAAAATGAAGAGTAAGTCAGGGCTCACTCTTTATTCTTTTAGATTTATATATCTTTTTTTTTTTTTAGTTCTCAACCGAGGACATTTTCCCATTTTTTGTTCAGATAGAGAGGGAGGGAGAGAGAGGAAGAGAGAGAGAGAGAGAAACATCGATGTGAAGGGACACATCGAGTGGCTGCCACCTGCACGACCAACCAGGGCCGGAGACAAACTGCAACCGAGGTATGTGCCCTTAGCGGGAACCGAACCCGGGTCTCTCTGTACCGCAGGCCGACGCTCCAACTGCTGAGCCAAACCGGCCAGGGCTAGATTTATATATCTTAATACAGTAAGCCAAAAATTATTGTAAGATTTTCCCAAGGCTATTTATTTACATTGTTTTTCCTTTCCAGGAGAATTTCATACACCAGCTATCCACTTGTAGCCCAGGTGCCCTGTAATGAAACTTACTAAATAAAGAACAATGTCTATTTTAAGCTAAAAATTTAGAATTTCTACAAAGTCTTATAGTTGCAGGCAGTCAAAAGGAAAGGCAGGTTTTATAAATATCTTCTAGATCCAGGGGGGCAAACCTGTACCTATATTTATTTATAATCTAGTATTTAAAGAAAAACACACTGATGTACTTTAGTGCTAAATGGTGTAAGGGTCACTGGTCAACTTCGTGCAGCATAATATTTGATTTCTAAATAGAATATGACCCATGTTGTAGATATGGTATTATAGATAAAATGCCACGGATTTTATATATTATTATAATTTAAAAATACCAAGTCTCATGGAAATTGTAATTTAATCCATCTGTGGTTGAAATAGTTTGAAGTCTGCTTGTGATGGGGACCTCGCAAACAGATTTCGTAGGGTGTATGGAAGTAGAGTGTCAGTGCTCCCCCTCCTGGTTTTATCATATTGGTGAGCTGACCTCGGTCCCAGGCTGGAGATGACAGCTAAGACCATTTTGAAGAACCAAATAAGATACCCTGATGCGATATTCTATTTCTGATTTGACTATTACACATCAATTTATAATAGTCAAGAAGCCTATCCATCATTAAAGTCCATTACGTCCCAGAATATAATATCTATGAAAAAAATAGAAAATATGTACAATACAGTTGATTTTATCTTTTGAAACAGCCTATTTCACTACAAATTTATAATATTAAGAGTGAACATTGAATATGTAGCTTCTTAGCTTAATTCTTGGTCTATGTTATTTTCTAGTGATGCTTTCTTTTTGTTGATGGTCTTAGCAGTGCCCTAGGTTCCTTAGAGGTAATTCCAAACACACCTTTAGTGCTCAAATATTTGGAAGTCTAGCATAGGAAAAACAAAACAAAACAATTTCAACAGAATCACCTGTTATTGTAAAGAAGGAGATTTAAAAAATTACTTTGAACTGAAAATTTCAAATTTATATAGGATTTAATTCTGGAGTTTTATTTTGTTTGCCTTGTTTTCCCAAAGACATTAGGCTACTTCTTATATGTAGTACCTGGAAAATATATTCTTTCCACTTACCATGTGTTTTTTGTTTTTAGGTGTCTTTTAAAAGTCTCTGTAGAACCTTAAATTTCACATGTAGTTACCCTCATTGCAGCATTAAGCAGGTGATTCTTAATAAATACCTAAAATCCAATCATTTCAAAGGAAACAAAAAGAAGTTTCTGATTAATTAAAATGATCTTCTTTTTTTTTTCCAATGACACATCATATACCAGTAGGAATTATAAAACTTCTTGGTAAATTATTTCTATTTTAATTGGTTGCCATCTAGCTGATTTAAAAAATAAATGCGTTGGTTTTTGTTTGTTTGTTTTGCAAAAGTATACAAACATATTACAAAACTGAAGAAATTCGGAATTTTAAAATTAGATTGATTTGGGGGAAATTATTTCACAAATCCAGATGAAACAAACATGGAATCCACAGCAGGAAATTTCACCTCTATGACGTTGTCATACACATTTCAAACTTTCAGATTTTACATATTCTGAATTTTGCTTTAAATAGGAACTGTAATGTTATCATCTTTTTTATACCAAATACATTTTTCTCTCTAGCTGATCAGAAGCCATGGCCTCACACAAGTTTTAATCTTCCTTTATTCTTCAAAATTATTTTCTAATTCAAATTGAAAGGCAGAGTCCCTATTTTTTACTGAGATCGATAACTGAAGATTGGTGACTAAGTTTAGAGGTGTTCTTTTATGACAAATTGCATTTGCAGGAGTATCGGCGGCATCCTCTTACGGGGTGTTTATTCCGCGCGTGCACAGTGCAACATTTTTCCAAGCTGGTGCACATGCAACGAAAGAGGAAACGACTGTTGGGGAAATCCTGTTCCAGGTTTTCAGGCAGCCCGTGTGATTGACACATGATATCACGGGAGGCGTGTCCCGGAGTGGAGGTGGAGGTGGAGGCGAGGAGCTGAAATTGTGCGGAGCTGGAGAGGGATCGCTCTGTAAGGCACGCAGTGGTCTGCAGAGTGATAGCCGCAGACAGAGCTCCCCGCCCCGGATCAGGAGCAGCTACAGCCGCTGTAAATGTGCCTGAAAAGCCATGTCCAAGCTTTGCGTTAGGTAAGAGCCGTTTCCTTCCTTTCCTTCCGTAGACGTTTTAGGAAAGATTAGGTGAGAAATGCTGGCTTTTGCAAGGAACTGAATGTTTCTTTAAACTCTCTTTCTATCTGGCTGCAATTCGAATTACCAGTAGACTCCCCACTGCTAAAACCAGTACTCTGAAAGTAAGTGCTAGCGCTGGAAAATAAAATAAAAACTAAAATACAAACGGCAGGGTCCTTTTGATCCTCCACCCCCACCCCATCCCCCTTATCGGAGCGGCAGCGAGTGTGAAGTCTGAAAGGGTCGGGTGTGCGACAAACAGGGTGGTTGTGCGGAAGGGGGGCTGGCACTCGGCGTGCGGACCGAATGCGTTTGTGTAGGCATTGTCGGGGAAGCAATTGTTTAAAACCTGAATTTCCCGTCTCGGGGTATTGATTCCCAACGCGCAGAGGCGTCGCCTGAACGCCGTTTGAACTCCTGGGCATTCCACGGGGGCAAAAGCACTTGGGCAAAAACGTGCAAGACTGCATGTTACTTTGGTTCGCGGCTGACACCCCGACTGTGCGCCGGCCTGTCAATCACAGGGAGCAGCAACAGCCAGCACATGGCAGCAGGCAGCCCGCCCCGCGTCCAAGCGCCTGGAAAGGGGGAAATTAATGTGTTTTTATCTCCGATCCTCTGTAGCAGGCACCTCGGCCGAGGAAGAGGAGCTTCGGGGGACTGGGAGTGAGCGCTGGCCGGGAAGCTGACCTGCCGGGACCCGAGCGCCCGGGACGCGGCGCCCCACTTGCGCAGAGTGCGGATCCGGACAGTGCCTGGACCTGCGCGGGGCCGGCCGACGCCCCGCCTCTTCCCCCGAGAGAGCCCCCCAACCTCGCTCCCTTCACCGCCCCCCTAAAAGAGCGCGTTAAAAGGCCCACCCCCACCCCGGGGAGCGGCGGCCTCGGCCTCGCGGGCGTGCACTCCCGGGCCCCGCCGCAGACGCCGGTTCACAACCCGTCCGGGGCCGTGGGACGCGAACGTCCGGGACGTGGATCTTCGCCCGTCGCCACTGCTGCCTTCCGCGCGAGGAGCGATCGGCACCGAGGAGCCTCCGGTCGGCGCGCACCGTCCTCGCGGCCGCGCCCAGCAGTTGGGACTCGAGCCTCTGCAGGGACCGAGCTCTGGCCCGTGGACGGGCCGCCGGAGAAGGGCCCGGGGTGGATGCCGCTGAGCCGCGCGGCCCAGGCGAGCGGTGAGCGCTTTGCGTCCGAGCCGTGAGCTCCGCGGCCGGAAGGGGGCCGCGGGGAGCGCTCCTGCCCGGCGGCGGCGCGGGCCATGCCCCCTCGGCCGCCCCGCCGCGCTTGAGGCGGCGCCTGCCCGCCGCCCGCTCCGGCGCCTGGGCCCCACGCCACCGCCGCGGCCTAGGTGAGTATGGGGAGCGGGCGGCAGGTGCGGGCGCGGGCTGGCGGCCGGGTGGGCGGGGGACGGCGACGCAGGGGCTCCGTCCCGTCTCCTGGAGCGGCGGCGCCTCGGCCCAGGCGTCCCTTTGGGGGAACCTCCTCGCGGAAGGTGGATTCGAGGAGGCTTGTGGGGTTACTCCCCGGAGGGCCGGGAGCTTCTTGACTTGCGCCGGCACCAGGCTTTCCGTGGCGGGGTCCCCCTGCGACGAGGCACCGGCGGGTCACCGGGCAGGGCCGTGCGCGCGCTCGCGGGTGTGCGCACTCGTGAGCGCGCGCGCGGGCCTGTGTGCGCGCGCGCGGGCGGGGAGGCGACCCCGGAATTCGCGTCACCCCGCACACAGAAGCAGCCGGCGCCCCCAGCCCTGCGTTCGGCCGGTTGCCGGACGCGGAGCGGCGCGGAGGGCACGGCCCCTTTAAAGGGCAGCCCGCCCTCCGAGTCATGGACACCTCCGCCCCCGCCCCCGCCCGCTGGAGCGGGGGCGCGAGCTTGTTTTCATTCATAACTTTTTCCTGTTCCTTCCTCTCCGGCCCCTATTTATTCCGCGCTCCGGGCTGGGAGCGCAGCGCGCGCTCCTCCGCCGGCCGCGCGGGGTGGCGGCGCTGCGGGCGGCCCGGCCCTGGAGGCCGCTGCCGCCGGTGCCGTCGGGGCAGCGCGTGCTGGGTGCCGCCTGGGCTCCGGAGGTCCGCCGCCGTCCTTAGGGTGTGAAGGCTGGTCCCACAGGGACCGACTGGGATCGTGTTTTCTCGGGGCGAGCCGTTCGTCCAGAGCGTGTGAGCCTGGGGGAAGGTGGGGTGGGGTGGGGAGGATGGGGGCTCTACCTGCTGCCCAAGGGCTTTGCTTCGGATCAGAGGTGGCCCACTTTCCTTGCATCTGCTGCTTACCCCCAGCCAGCAGGCACTGTGACCACTGTCAGGGAGAGCCGTTTGCAGCCGCGCTGGGGCTGTTCCTACGCCCTTGAGCCCCTTCTCCACCGGGTTTCCTTCCTAGTGCACCCTGCCTCCGCCTTTGGACACTGCTCCGGAAGCCGGGGCGCACCGGTGGTCTGCTTGAGGTGATGCGCAGTGGCCAGGGGCTGGCCTCCGCCCTTGAGGGCCCGGGGCTGAACCCGCAGGCTGTGTGCGTGTCTGTGTGCGTGTCGGTCTCCGTGCACAGAGGAGGGAGAAGCAGGCAGAACCTTGGGAGAATGCGGGAGGGAACCCCCAGAATTGAATGTATAAGACAGCCTGGCGACATTCACTCTAGTTGTTAGATGAAATGGACTTCCTTCTGCTTTAGCCCTTAAGCTGCTGGTGGTTGTTTGGTATTTTCGGTTCAAAGTGGCAGTGGAGAGGGGGCGTTTTTCTTTTCGTTCTTAAATTGGGTTGAATCTGTAGACTTTGGAAGGAATTTGTGTGAAAAATATTCCAGTTGAGCACTGACGGAAAATGGAAACGTTGTTACGTTTGGTGGTTTGTTTTATGAAGAATGCATTATAAGTGAGAAACAATTTACTTTTGGTAAGGAAACACAACTCATTTTTACCATGGTATTGCCAGACTTATTTTATTACGAGAAGCACATTAATTCAGAGTTGGCAGTGCTTTTGAAAATCAGGCTCTGTCATGTAAATACCGATTTTAAGTTAGAGGAAATGCAGATAAGTAAAATGGCCAGCATTTGCCTGTACTGCTCTAAAGGCCTAACACTTATTTGTGCCTGAAAAGTTATCACATTATGTGAGTGAGCCTTATTTAAACTTTAAAAACTCCTCTCATGATTTTAATTGTGAATACTCTGGCATGAAAAGAACTCTACACTGAGTTGTGTGTGTGTGTGTGTGTGTGTGTGCGCGCGCGCTTCATGGCTATAAACACTAAGAACTGCTATATTCGTCTATGTTCATTTTGCATCTTGTACATCAATAATGAGCTAGTTTGAAAATCCTATTTGCTACAGAAAATGACTTATTATTTTGAGGTTCCATTTTAGTTTGGAATCTCTCTTATAATGGATGAAGTATACCTTGCCTAATTTCTTCATCATTAATCTGATGTTTGTAACAGCAAACAAATGACAAAAAAAGCAACTGCCACCAAAGCCATTTGTATTTGGAAATTTATTTTGTATTTGGAAAGGATATTTTTCTTTCTGGAGAACACGAGGAACTGATACTGAGCTTTCTGTTCCAGTGGGTATGCTCAATATTCCCTACAAGGGGATATTTTGATTGTTAGTTTCACCAACAGAAAGGCATTATTTCTTCTTGATTCCGCTTTTTAGAAGTCGAATAACCAAATTTGTATGGCATGGGGTCTCCTGTTCACATTCTTATTCTATGATGTGGTCCTCGGCCTCTCTTGGATTGGACTCTGGCCAGGACCCCGGCATCATTGTAATCCGCTGCTCAAGGTGATCATTACCAGGTGCTTCAGGCAATTTGTGACTTGACAGGGTTTTTCTCCCTCCCCCCAAAATACTTCCTGTCATTTATTTTGTCTCCCTGTTTTTTTCATGTTCGATTTCCTCTTAGGGTTTCAGATGCACGCCAGGTTTCCGCTGACTGCCAGAATTCGAGATCACTACACATGGATCCCCCAAACCAGCATGGCAGTGCCAGTTCATTGGTGGTGACCCAGCAGCCTGCCCTGGACAGCCGGCAGAGGCTCGACTGCGACAGAGAGGGTCCGCCTGCTGCTATCTTGTCCCTAGACCAGATCAAGGCCATCCGAGGCAGCAATGAGTACACGGAGGGGCCCTCGGTGGTGAAAAGACCTGCACCCCGGGCAGCCCCGCGACAGGACAAGCACGAGAGGACTCATGAGATCATACCGATCAATGTGAATAACAACTACGAGCACAGGCCTGCGAGCCACCCGGGACACGCAGGCCTCTCACCTCACGCCCGAGGCCCCGGGCTGAGCAGGTCCACCAGCACCGGGAGTGCAGCCAGTTCTGGGAGCAGCAGCAGCGCCTCTTCGGAGCAGGGCCTGCTGGGAAGGTCGCCGCCAGCCAGACCTGTCCCTGCACATCGGTCTGAGAGGGCGATCCGGACCCAGCCCAAGCAGCTGACTGTGGATGACTTGAAGGGCTCTTTGAAAGAGGACCAGACCCAGCACAAGTTCATCTGTGAGCAGTGTGGGAAGTGTAAGTGTGGCGAGTGCACGGCCCCCAGGACCCTGCCTTCCTGCCTGGCCTGCGACCGGCAGTGTCTGTGCTCGGCGGAGAGCATGGTGGAGTACGGCACCTGCATGTGCTTGGTCAAGGGCATCTTCTACCACTGCTCCAATGACGACGAGGGCGACTCGTACTCCGATAGCCCGTGCTCCTGCTCCCAGTCACACTGCTGCTCTAGGTACCTGTGCATGGGAGCCATGTCTCTGTTTCTACCTTGCTTACTCTGTTACCCTCCTGCCAAGGGATGCCTGAAGCTGTGCAGGGGGTGTTACGACTGGACCCACCGCCCGGGGTGCAGATGTAAGAACTCCAACACCGTCTACTGTAAGCTGGAGAGCTGCCCCTCCCGGGCTCAGGGCAAACCCTCCTGATTTGGGAGGTGGGCCGGACCTCCCGGACACCTAACTTTCAAGCAGTGGCTGTTGGAAAAAATGCTATTGGATACTGGTTTATTTCCTTTACGACTTTCCCGTTTCCTGCCTTCTCCCCCTCTGTTCCCAAGGCGTGGCTTGTGCATGGTACCTTCCCGTGGACGGTCAGTGAGAATGACTGGGTCCCACTCAGGACAAGAGCCTCTGCCACCCACTCGGGAGGGTGTTGGCAGCCACCGGCTGGGGTTTTGTTTAGCGTTTTTGTTCTGCGAGCGACTTTTCCAAAGTTGTCCACATGCACAGGTCACAGTGATTTAGAGCTGGTTTTGCTGGGGTTACTCTGGGAGCAGGGAAGTTGGTGTTTAAAGAAGCAACCGTTTAATTGCTGAAATAAGCTATGTATTCCGTCTTTCTCCAGGTAGGGCTGTCTTCCTAGCGCTGGACCCTGAAGTAGCATGGGGGATATGTTTTTGTTAGAAAGGTTTTCCTTTAACCCCTGCCCCTCAGGGTTCCCTCCCCTCGGTTCTGCATTGTCTTATTCTCGAGATGCTAGGTATTTCTTTTTCCTTTGTTTTGTATGTAATGTTAGGTTCGCTCTACAGTGGAAATCTTCACATTGGAGATATATTGGTTGTATCTTGCTGACCCACAGTCTAGCTTTCGTTTTCGTGAAGGACCAGCTGCCTTCCTTCCGTACCCCACACTTTCACCAACTCTCTCTTGTCGTTGAGGGCACTTGGGTCACTAAAGTCGGTGTTTATAGCCGATCGATCTGCAAGTGTCAGAAGTCCGCTTCCTAGAGTGATCTCGGCTCCTGAACGGTCCCTCTGCCCGGGTTAGTTAACAGCTGAGTAAGTCTAATCTCTTCTGTTTTCATTGCCTTAACCACAAATTGTGGTGCTTTTTGTATATTTTATGTATAAATCACAAAGTTGAATTCTGACTATTTTTAAGACAAAAAGTCTGTTAAACTTTTTTATTGTAAAGAATATTTATTATGCGAATCTCTATTATTTTATGATATTTATTGCAAAAAAACTGTTGAAATGTACTCATGTCTGAATATAACAAAATATCAATACATAACGGAAAATAAGGCGGCGCGAAGAAAGTGCATATGTTAACTATAATGCAGAAATATATTAATTAATGAAACTGCCTCTTGATCTCTTCATTTATTGGCCTGTGCTGTTACGGTGATTTGGGTCATTTGCTTGGACTCTCTTCATGCCCACTCATTGAATTTCTTTCCCTCAACATACCGAATCCAGGCACAGGCAAGCTCAAATTGTGAACTCGATGTTTCCTGGGAAATGCATTAATCAAAATATGTAATCCAAGTTCTGTTTCAACAGATTCCTAAGCAGAGCGCTGTGAAGTGAAAATGTTTTATAATTAGTGTAAACAATGACTCCCTCTTTGGCTGGTTCCTAAGCAAGAGGTTGTGTGTATGTCATCGTGTCTTGGAATGGCATGTGATCGAGAAGTTATAAAAAATATTTCCCAACTCTCTTGGGTTCATCAGAAATTAGTTTTCATCAGCAAAACGCAAAGATGTCGTTCTGTAGGTATGCCGGGAGTCTCAGGCATTGTCGCTTTGAAAAGCATTCTAGGGGTCAGAGGGCACGAGGGCATTGTTCACGTTACCAGAGAGATGCTTTAAAGACACCCCTGCCCCTACCTTTTCATTTCCTGCGGTGATCTTCAACGTGGCCTAGTCACATTTTTCATCCTGTCCTGTGGAATGAGGAATCTGAGGGCCTGAAACTGTATTATAGAAAAAGTAAATATTTTAATTTTTTTAGTCTGCTGAAACCACTACTTGGCTAGTATCTCTGGGTGTGGTAGAATTTCTGGGGGGTCTCAGACTCGGTTTCCCTACCTCCCTGTGCCCGAGTGATGTGTCAAACCTGAACAGTTTCCTGCGTTTGGCATAATTTGAACCCAGGACTTAGGCTTTCAAAACTTGTGTCCAGCTTTGTTTTGATTGGTGTCTCTCAGATGATCTGGCTCCCGGTTTTAGAAATATTGTTCTTGTGAACAGGCCTTGGTTTTGTTTTCATCAGACAAGGCATGGGTGATGGGAGCTGTTTTGAATGCTGACCCATCGGGCCACTACACCTGTGGTTGGCATTGTAACATTCGATAATCAAATGGTTTCTCTGATTTCTGAAAACACATGAATATTCCTGTTTTGGAGGCTACTTCATAATCTAGTATTTCAAAATGTGACCTCATTTCGTCTGGTATTCAGGGGTCGATGTTATCACTGTCCCTTAATACTGAGTATTTCACTGAGATGTGGCTCCTTAGGAATGAAGTGTGTCAACACAGACTGCGTGAAATCCTGTGTAATTTTTCTCTCTCATTATTCAGACCGTTAGTGTCACTGGGAGCCCTGTAGTTATAATAACCAGACTCAAGCTGTGGTTACGACAGAGAGATGTGCAACGTTTATGAGCCTCAGGGCGGCTGGGGGGTGCACTTCTGGCCCTCGGGACGCGTTCAGGTCGCAGTCTCGAGCTGGTGGCCTGCCGCCCGGCGCCGTGGGTGTCCCCTGCCATGCCAGGCCCACGTTCGGAGGCAGCGATGGGTTCGAGGTGCAGACGGGTGCAGACTCAGGAAGCAGTGCGGAAACACTTTGATGTTGTGATGGTTTAAACCTAGAAGGAAAACGATTAGGGTTCGTCCTCCCAAGTGCTTCTGACACCAAGACTGACCGTCACTTCCAAGTTCTAAGGCTCTGACAGCGCCCTCGGAGCGGAAGTGTCTCCCGTCACTGCCCGTACCGGAGGCCGCTAAGTGCACGGTGACATCGGATGGCAGCCCTCCCCCCCGGGCCCGGGCCTCTTCCTCAGCTGCGCTGCTCAGAATCAGCCTTTTCGTTCAATAGTTTCTTTCCAGCATATTTTCTGACTGCCAATTTTTTTGTTGTTTCCAGGGAGTTTTATTTAGAGAATTTAATTGTGAATAAAACCAATACCGGATTCCTGTAATTGAATAGTTTCCTGTCAACAGACTTTATAAAATGTAACCCAGCAGAAAAATGAAATGAGAACACTAGATAAGGCTGCTTTTTTGCAGAGGCCTACGGTGAATTCCGAATGACAGTCTGTTCTAATTATTTCATGGTTTTCGAAATCCAAACCCTAGAACATTCCAGTTATGATGAAGAAAAAGAAAAGTGAGAAATCAGTGGCCTTCAAAGTGAAAGGAAGAGAGTGAAAAACTCATCATGTTTTTACCCAAAATTGATACGGGAAGCAGCTGAGAGGGTTCATTTCTGGAATACTGAATTTGTTTTTTGAAATTGTCTCCTTTTCTCAAATCTTTTCTTCGTAGAAGGTTATATTTCATGGCCATTTTTATGTATGCTCTTTAGCAAAAAACAAAAATGAAAATATCCCCGTTGAAACACTGAAATACTGAGACAAACAGAAAAAATGAGTGTCTAGACAGTTCTCACCTAAAACTCTACACCATACAGATTGCTTTTTTTTTATCCTTACCCGAGGACATATTTGCATTTTTTGTCCAGATAGAGTGAGAGGGAGAGAGAGGAAGAAAGAGAGAGAGAAAAACATTGACGTGAAAGGGACACATCGAGTGGCTGCCACCCTCATGACCAACCAGGGCCTGGGACAAACTGCAACCGAGGTACATGCCCTTAGCGGGAACCGAACCCGGGTCTCTCTGGACCGCAGGCCAACTCTCCAGCCGCTGAGCCAAACCCGCCAGGGCCCATACAGTTTTCTTAATTGCAAGAGAGATTTTGGAATCTTTGAATAGCTTGAGAACAACACTGTAAGTCCTTCTTTTGGCCCATCGACAGTTGGAGGACTGTTTTCTCCAGTATTTCATTGATTAGATATAACCAAAATGGCCATGTACTTGGTTGACAAGTTATTGATTCTTCTAATATTCTCTCCGACTACTACCAAGCCCTGGTGCTCCATTTATTGAGCACCTACTAGGTGCATTATTCTACATGCAGGAGCATTCCAGGGCTAGAAGTGGACCTCAGAGTCTGCCTGCTTACTGCCTCCACTGCGTGTGCAAACGGGGGCACGAGCGGACGAGTTCACAGGTTCAGAAATCGGTGCCACAGCCCGGACCTGCTGTGTCAGAGCGTTTCCAGAGGAGGAGTGTGGCACTCTGGGATTTAAAACCACTTCCGGCGTGATTTCATCAGGCAGCTTTGAGTTGCTTTCTTAGCTCCACGTGTTCATTTTGAGGCAGTAGAAACAAAGGCCCAGCTTGAGCAGCTAAACTGCGCGATGCCCAGGGTAGAGCGGGGACCCTCACTGGATTCGGGGTTTTCTTCTCTCTCAGCAGCAAGCCTGGTCCCTTTGCTGCACATCAGCCTTTACCGTCCGTTCTCTCCCGGAAGGTTTTCTCCTCATGGTGAACAGATTTGCCCACAGCTGAGGAAATGAAGTGCTTTTCTTTATCCTCACCCGAGGACATGTTTGCATCTATCTTGAGACAGAGCAGGAGGGAGAGAGGGAGGAAGGGAGAGAGAGAGAGAGACATTAATGTGACAGACACATTGAAGGGTCGCCACCCACACAACTCCAACTGGAGCCGGGACAAACTGCCACCGAGGTACGTGCCCTTAGTGGGAACCGAACCCGGGACTCTGGTCCGCGGGCCGACGCTCTAACCGCTGAGCCAAACCGGCCAGGGCTTCTCTACATATTTTACTTGCACTGGCTCTCAGGAATAAGTAGCACCTGGCCATGATCATTTGTCACATGTTAACATTGAAGTTAGCAACTGCATTTGAAAACAGTATGCCTGCTTCCTCTGGCCAGGCTTAGGTGAGCAAGTTGATGTACTCAGTTTGTAAAAGGTACAGTAAGTTGGCATCTCGAGTTAAGAACTGGATGGTACTTCTTACCACTCTCTGGGTTGCATCGGGATCTCAGCGATTAATGAGCAGATCCAAACGTTCGCGTTTGTCCTGTGAAAAGGTCGGAGTTACCTGTCAGAGAGTCGAGTCATTCTGGATACGGTAATAATTCTAATTGCAAGAACTATCAGAGAACCTACAACTGTTTTGAACGGGGTCATTTGGGAAAATATCCTGGAAGCTTCTATCATTCACCCGTAGTCCAAGAGTTTCTTTTATGAAATAATCACAGAATCATACTTTTCAGTGCTGGAAAGAAATGTCATGGCCTGCGGCTCATCTTGAACTTAGAGGCAGACTGCAGGCCCGGAGAGGTTCCCGGCCGCACGGCGGCTCTGGGGGCCAAAGGTAGAGTGAACGTCCCAGAAACCTGCTCGCTGTGACGGACGAAGGGCTGGGCGGGAGGAGACGGGCCAGGTGGCAGGAAAGCTGGCTGCTTCATGTGTGTAGAGTTGGACACGTGGTAAAGCCCGGACTCAGGTAGTCAGTCCGAGGGGAAGAAGCACGTGGTGGAAGGGAGTCAGGGACGGGAGCCGAGTGAGGCTGACTCGCGTTTGGGTAAACTGAGTCCCGGCCTGGCGATCGGATGAGAGCTTCAGCTGTGTGCCCAGGTGAGTGAGGGCCGGGGGTGTGGCGGGAACTGTGGGAGATTAAATGGCATTTAGAAGAAGGCTGGAGGCCAGTGGGCGTGGGAAGAAGGGGTCAGTGTCCATCGGGAGGACTGGTTATTGGTACGTGGGCCTGAGATGGGGGGAAGAACTGGAAATGATGCCGAGCTTGTGGACGGAGACCACCAGGCAAACTAGTTGTGTCAGCAGAAATGGGCGGAGGTCCCTTAGGAGGTGTGAGGGATGGAAGGTATGAGTTCTGCTGCATGAGCTGGGGATGCCGGCGAGCTCCCCGCAGGTCACTGAGAGCGGTCTCGGGTGTAAAGGAGGCGGGTGGGGCCTGGGGGCGACCGCAGACCCCCCGGGAAAGGACGGGGTGAGGTCAGGCCAGGGGCCGCAGCTTGCGGGGCCCACCTGCGTCTCGGGGCGGAGGCGGCACGTGGGGCCGGCAGAGACGGTGGTCAAGGAGGCATGGGCACCGGCCATGGTGTGTGGGCAGATCTCCCCGAGTGTTTCAGGATGAAGAGGGTCGGGAAATACCCGAAGCGGCGGAGACTCCCAGCTCAATTCCGTGGGTGGCATTTAGGTGACATGGTGGTGATAACAGCCAGGCTGCTTGGGGAGGGAAATGAGTGGATGGCGAGCATCGAAGGGAACAGCTGAGCCTGCTCCAGGCACTCCGAGG